GTTTTTCTCCGGTACCAGGAACCGAACTCACGACCTTGCGCATGCCAGGCAGGCGCTTTTGCCGCTGAGCTAAATCCCCAGCCCCTGGTAAGGTTCTTAAGAGGATGGAACCAAGGCAGATACTAATGAGACAGACCTTAATTGACTGTAGGAAACAGAAGTCTTGGATTCTTACTAATTCATGTGAAAAGAAAGACTTAAAACTTTATTTGATAAACTTTACTATGATTGTATACATTTTGTAGTTTTTTTCACTTCTTTTTGTAAATGCCTTCAAATCGTGTATACAACACTAACACTTGTTAGACCATTTTAAATAGCCTTAGTATTTTTATTTTATAAAACGTGAAATGCATTTTTATAGCCAATCTTATTAGTAATCCATACTTTCTTTAAAATGTGTTTTATGATGATGCAGTATATAAATGTTATTATTCCTTTTGTTAGAAATTCAGTTAGAGGCTTTGTTAGAGGCCATGTGACCTGGTTTCATTTGGATTTTGGTATACCTCTGATATATTAAGACCTCTGTTCCCTGTCAAATCAGAGTTTCCTCCTGCATGAAGTGCATAATACTTGGCCACCCTGTGTAATGGATATATTTAAAAGTTACAAATAGACTATTTTCTTTTAAAAAGTAAGAAAGTAAATGAACACTAAATTATTTTTCTATGCAATTCAGTTTTTCTTTTAAACATTTTTTGTTTATATGCAACATTTCTAAAGTTAACCTACTTCTGTTAAAAACTTAGGCAAGATCTTTTTCTTACTCTGAGGTTATCTTTCTACCACAGTTGCACAGTATCCTTTTGAAGACCATAACCCACCACAGCTAGAACTTATCAAACCTTTTTGTGAAGATCTTGACCAATGGCTAAGTGAAGATGACAATCATGTTGCAGCAATTCACTGTAAAGCTGGAAAGGGACGGACTGGTGTAATGATTTGTGCATATTTATTACATCGGGGCAAATTTTTAAAGGCACAAGAGGCCCTAGATTTCTATGGAGAAGTAAGGACCAGAGACAAAAAGGTAAGTTATATTTGATGTTTTTCTTTCCTCTTCTTAGGTCCAAGAATTCATTGAAATAAAGATGTTATACTTTTTCTGTTTTTCCCTCTTCTGTTTTCTTGAGGTATAACTAACAGGTAAAAGCTATGCAGTATATATTTAGAGTGCATAAGATGATGTTTTGATAAATGTATAAATTGGGAAGTGGTCACCACAGTCAAACTTCTTAACATCTTGATCATCTTACATAGTTAACCTCTCTACACTGAAGTGAGAAACCTGCTCATCAATTTTAAAGTATAGGATACATTATTAACTATGGTCACCATTGTGTCTAACAGAAACTTGTTACCTTTGCATACTCCCATTATTCCCTATCCACACCTCCTAAAAAATAGATTTTACAAAGATAGTTGTTAATGCTTATTTCTTTAAGTTTCTCACTCTGTTGCTTCCTCAACTTCTATTTGAGCAAACAGCTGATTCCTTTAATTTTCTGTTCATGCTGCCATTTTTATACAATTCTAACATATCTTACTCAACTGTGTTTGGTCTCACAAAATCCTTATAAAATAGCATTTAAAAAAATTTAATAGCAGCTGGGCGTGGTGGTGCATGACTATAATCCCAGCACTCAGGAGGCTGAAGCAGGAGGATTGTTTTGAGTTGGAGGCCAGCCTGGGTTACAAAGTGAGTTCAAGGCCCACCTGAACTGCATAGCGAGATTCTGTCTCAAAAAGATGCAAAAAATGAGAAAGAAAAAAGAAAACAATTTAATAGCAGATTAATTAAAAGCAAGCTTGATATTTCTGAAGCTTGCTTTGAGAATAAAATATGTTTGGATAATAACCTGAATCCTGTTAGCTAATAAAGTGTGAGCTTTTATAATAAATAAAAATCACTCTTCACTATGCATATTCACAAACATAGTTACCCATTAAATTAGTTACAATTAGATCAGAGATTCTTTGATTATTCAGAAAATTTAAGATTTGAAAATTAGTCACAAATTTAATTTTGTAGTACACTTGAAAATAAACTTTTGACAGAAATTTTACAACAATATCAGAGGATCAGTAAATGTTGGATGGCAAGACAAAACATGTTAGCACTTAATCCAAAGAATTTTTATACATTTCTCCACCTCCAAGAAGGACAAAACCCAAACCACTCCAGAGAGATGAAGAAATTCATTTAGAGAGCTCCAGGGAAGAAGACATCACCACTTTACCTGAAAATTTATTCCAGCTTTAATAATTTTTATAATGAGTCAAATTCTCCTTCAGGTTAGGGCAGTTTCTTCTTGACTTCAAAACAGAAATAGAATTGGCCGTACACACTGTCTTAAGGTGTGTAGTTGTAGCAGTTCCTCAGTCCTGTACTTCTTCCTCATCTAGTGTTTTCTAACCCTTTGTCTATGTGACTTCGAATTTTCCCTAAGGATGCCAAAGTATTTATTGGTGATAGTTCATAAAATTTAATATTAGAAATCAGGTAAAAAGGTTTTCTTGAAAAAAATAGAAAAGTTGTATAATAAGCCAGAACACTAGATTTAAGCTAGGGGCTCTTAAGTGACTTTTAAAAATTGGATGAAAGGTATACATGTTCTCCCACCATACAGGTGCATGGTGTACATAAACACAAAATTTTGCTTAGGGTTTCATTGTGCTGAAATTTTTTTAAAAACATGGACAGAACCTGCATTAGAATATTATCTCACCTTTTTTCCATGTAAAAATCAGTGAGAGCAATGAATAAATCTTGTATAGCACAAAAATTAACCAAAGTGAAGTTTATTTTGCTTAGTACCTAATTTTAACAAAAGGACTACTGCTGTTCTTTAACTCTTAAAAAATTTTTTTTGAGATGGGATCTCACCCTGTAGTGTAGGGTAGCCTAGGCTGTATAGCCTAGGCTGGCCTCAAACTTGAGGCAATCCTCCTGATTTACCGTCCTGAGTGCTAGGATTACAGGAATGCACCACCATGCCTAGCTTTAACTTTTTAAAATAAGTCGAAAGTATGCCATTGTCTCTGAAATTGTTATGATTTTTTGGGTGGGGGTGATTACTGAACATTGAACCCAGGGCCAAGCATATGTTAGGCAAGTGCTCCACCTCTGAGCGACACCCCCAACTCTGAGTCATCTTTAATCAATTTTAACTTTGTTTTGGTTCTTACAAGTTCTGAAAACCCTGTTGCACAAATAAAAGAACAAATAAAATCTGTAGATTCTTTTGCCCAACAAAAGTAGGCTTGTGTCAAGAAATAGGGAGTTCTGGGGCTGGGGATTTAGCTCAGTGGCAAAAGCGCCTGCCTGGCAAGCGCAAGGCCGTGAGTTCGGTTCCCGGTACCGGAGAAAAACCAAAAAAAAAAAAAGAAATAGGGAGTTCTTAGCTGGGTATGGTGGCAAATGCCTGTAATTCCTGCACTGTGGGAGGCTGAAGCAAGGATCACAAGTTCAAACCCAACCTTGGCAACTTAGTGATTTAGTAAGACCCTGGGGTTCAACCCTTAGCACTGAAAAAAAAAAAACTCTTTTCAGATATATTCATATTGCATCATTTTCTTTGCCTTCAAATTAATGGATCAGTTTTGGCAAGAGCTGTATCACTAATGCTGTATTAGGAAGGAAAGGATTATGACTCTATATTTCACTTTAAAGTTGAAGAATTAAATTCTTTAAAAAGAGTTTGTATTTCACTTACTAAACAGCATTATCTGGTTGTGGAGTGTATCTTCCAAATGTCATTGAACTTGTCTGTAGCAAAAAAACTTTATAGTTGCTCCCATTTCGTGACAAAATCTCTCAAGAAACTCCTGACTGAAAGTCTTGGCTTTCCTTGACAACAGTAGCTTTTTCTTGACAGGTCTTGCACAGGCTGTGATTTAAAGTTTGGCATGCATGAAGCAATAGAAAACTTTTACAACAATAGATAAGGTTTCTTTGAGGGTGAAGGTGAGTCTGGCACCCCAGTGCATATGGATGAATAAAGCAGTAAGTGATGGTAGTGTGGAGGCCATCTTTCTTCACCATAGCAGCAAAGCCAGATGTACTGCCAGATAATGAGTATTATCTGCCTATAGAATATGGAAATTTCTTCAATGAAAGTTTTCTTTTTTACTTTTTCTTTGTTTTTAAACAAAGAAATATCACCATTTTGAAAATGTTAATTTGTTTTTTTCTTTTTCTTTTTGAGACAGGGTCTCACTCTGTAATCTAGGCTGGTTGTAAACCAATTATGTAGCCCAGGCTAGCCTCAAACTCAAGGTGGTCCTCCTGCCTCAGCTCCTGAGTGCTGGAATTATAGATGTGTGCCACCATGCTCAGCAATGTTAATGTTTTCTAAAATTTCTAAAAATGCCTTCAAAGTAGGAATTATTTGTTGATTGTGTCATTATGTGTGCATTTCTTGCAAGTTAGTAGCTGGCTATACCAAGAAGTCATATGCTGAAAGAAAGTGGTACTTCTAATCTTTTATGGCCCCTTTTCATAATTTTAGAAAAACATAGCAATTTTTTGGAATGGGTGAAATTATTTGATAGTGGTACTGTACATAGTGATTTTACTTTTCTGATGCATTGTATGTGTATGTGTGACCATTTGTAAAATAATTTGCCTTTGTCACGTTCGTCTGTGTTGACTTTTTTGTTTGATATTAGTCAGTAGCCTAGTAGGGTGTTTTACTGAAGGGTTTTTGAGTTGAGGTAAAGTTTTGTAATGGTCTAGACTTTTCTAAGCTCTGCCTTCACACGTGCTTTCTTCTTTCTTTTCTGTACACACATGTATACATTCTCTAACAGAGGAGTTTCTTCAGAATAGTTAGCTATGTGCTACTAATGGGGAACACTTGACATATGAGAAGCATTTGGAATATTGTATCTCATGTTCAGGGATAAAAGGAAAACCCAAGGCTGCTTAAGCTTTCTTGTATTTTATTTTCTCTGTTTCCAATTCAAGTTAAATCCAAGAGAAGTATCCATAATCAAAAAGTGAGAATGTGCTTTTATTTGTCAGTGGTAAGATACTAAGTCATCACAATCTGTTAACACACTCAGAACTGTTTTCTTCTAGAGTTGAGGAGAGAATGTTTAATGAAAAGACAAGATTGTGAAGTCAGGCCAGAGTGAAAAGACAGCTAAGTACTATGAAAATAAGTAAGGTCTATAACATCATGACATAAAATGTATTAATACCGACTTTAGTAGAAGTGCTCTAGGCTTTACATGTTTACCATTCTGTGTATAGGTTGGCATCTCCCTTAACTGTGAAGGTAGTGGGCTAATAATAATTAGAAAATGGATATATATGTATGAACTATTTGGGATCTACTTAGTAAAAAAAAATTGTTATACTTAGCTATTATAAGACTCAGTTAAGTAATTTAACTGAAGTTGGTCACTGTGTTTTTATTATGTCCTTGTTTATTTTTAAAAGGCCAAAAAATTAAGATTTATTTCATTGAACGATTGTGTTTGCATTTCAGGTTGAAACAGCATTAGAAAGCTAGATAAACTAGATAAATGTCTTAAGATTATTGAGGTTCCCCTCTACTCATAGGAGTGTTCTTTTATTTTCTAGGTGATGAAAACAGGCTCAAAAAGATTAAATGTTGTGATCAGTACTATCTAAACAGTTAATGATAGCAGTCAGAGTAAAATTGGAGTTTCCTACTACATTTTAAAATTTTTCTACATTGTCAAGTTCACAAATCTTGAAGCTGCAAAAAACTTTAGAAATTGTTCATGATAATCTGCAAGTCTTCTTTACAGGGTTAATGCTGATGAAATAGATCCATTTTGAAAGGCTTCTTGGTTTATAGTCTTTTTTTATAGAAGCTAGAGAGTTTAGTGACTCTTGATTTAAGAAGAATGACAGTGAGGCTGTTAATGTTGTAAATATAATGCTTCCTTAAAATTTTTGCAATTTAATTGTCTTACAGCTTTTGTTTACCTAAGGATTAGCATGCTAATGATAACAAATGCATTTTTAACCTTTTGTGAATAACTGATTTCATCATAGGAAAACTTAGTTGAGTATGGCGATGTTACTGTTATGTGAAATCTTTTCTAAGAAGTGTTTTGGGGGTGGGTAGGGGCTGTTCTGGGTATTGAACTCCATGGCCTTCGCACTGGGCTACATCTCCAGCCTTTCTTTTAATATAAGTTTGAGACAGGGTCCTGCTAAGTTGCCTAAGCTAGGCTCAGATTGTAAATCTTGTGCCTCAGCCTCCCATAGTGCTGGGCCTGAGAAATATCTTATAATAAATCTAATTGATCACCTACTTTCATTTCTGAAATATCTGAAAATGTTTTGCTTCTTGCTAATATGTTCTTTTTAGATAAAGCCTGTGGATGGCAGTTTTGTAATTGGTGAGCCACTATTGGAGGTGCTTACATTTTTATGAAGGATTGGTCCTCTACCCCTTTTGTGGTGCTGGGGACCCTAACCCAGAGCTTCTCACCAGTAGACAAGCATACAAACACTGAGCTGTGCCCCTTGCCAGGACTAATTTCATTAGAACTCCTTTCAATGTTATTTTGCTTGTATCCTTAATTTTAATTATAGAGAAACATTACCTAACTGAAGAAAAATTCGTGTTTTGGCGACATTTTCATAGGAGCAGAATTGCCCTCCCCTTCTTGTTTTGAAGAGAGAAGAGACAGTGGTCATGTTTTCATGAAAACATTTTTTGTTTTTAGTGGGTTGTAGTGTACACACTTGTAATCCCAGCACTTAGGAAGCGGAGGCAGGAGGATTGGAAGTTCAAGGGCAGTTTGGGCAGTTTAGTGAGAACCTGTTTCAAAAAACAAACAGACGGATAGAGAGATATAAGCTGGAGATATAGCTCAGTGAAAGAGTATTACTAGTTCAATTAATTCCCAGTACTGTTTAAAAAAATTCTATATTTTGCAGAGACAGTCTTAATAATTTGACCTGGTCTTGACATAGTCTCAGCGGATGAGGTACAAATTAGATGGTAGGACCATCAGTTCAAGCTGACCTTAAACTGTGGCCTTGTGTTAGTAATGCCCAAATAATACTTGAGGGTTGCAGAGAAGTCATACCATTTGGTACCTCATATAAAGAAAAAGTTCTGAGAGTCAAGATGCTTGTTTGGGGAAAAACTATCATTCATTCAGTAACTTATAAGAAAACAACAGTGAAACACTTCCCTAGGTATCATTCATTCATATATTTCAGGTTTTGCTTTAGGCCTCCAAAAAACACATGCTGCAGGGCAATTTTTAGGGATGGTTTCCATCTATCCTGTGCTCCACACTGTCTGCATATGTACTTTTTTTGAGACAGGGTCTCACTTTGTAGTTCAGACTGGCCTTAACGGGTGACCTTGAACTCACAGTGTTCCTTTTGCCTCAGCCTCACAGCCTCCTCAGTGCTGGGATTACAGGCATTGTACCATTACACTTGGCAATTCCTTGGAAAACTTGTGAAGAGTTTTCATAGATGGAAAAAAATGAAAGCTCAAAAGGTTATGACTTCATTCAAATTATGTATTTAGTATACTTGCTGTTAGTAAAATGCCAGTATACCTGAGCAAAAGTTTTAGACTCAGATTTCACATTTAGCTCCAGATTCTGGTTTTTTTCTGGTACCAGGAATCGAACTCATGACCTTGTGTTTGTCAGGCAGGTGCTGTGCCACTGAGATAAATCCCCAGCCCCTAGATTCTGGTTTTGAGTGAGATAATTATGTGTAGCAAGACTTTTCTTTTTATCCTTAAAATAGCTGATTGTATGTATCTTGTGAAGTTGTTGCAGTGTTAGAAACATGTAGAACATTGTAGAACATGTAGAAACATGTGGAACTACTGTTACATGTTTTCATTGTAACAGTAACCATTTATACGAACCATAATTTTCCTTTGTTGAATTAATATTCTGTAATCTTGTTGTGATCATTCTGAAATGTAGATTTCCAAGCTTCAAGCCAACACTGTTATGTTGAAACGTCTACATTATTTCTGAGTTCAGAAGCACCAGTGAAGAGTACTCAAGTAGGAAATTACTTTTTAAATTGATAAATATAGATTGTGAACTTATCTTAAAGAAGATCCGAGAGTATTGATGCACAGATACAAATATAGTACATATCTAGTGTTGTGGTTTTAAGCTAATACTGTGGTCTGACAGCATTATGTTAGAAAACATGGAACCCTTAACAGTTGGCTGCTTGTATACCTTTATACCTTAATCTGATGATGCTAGCATATTTTTTAAAAGAGAAAACCAAGAAAGTACAATTTAGGGGAAATTAAATAGCTTGGCCCAATGTAAGAATGAATGTAGAAGCAAGGGAATTATAAGAGGTAAGAGGGAAAAAAGGAGGTTAGGGCTATATTTTTGTGAGTGATTTATAGTAAGTGATAAATTGTTCTTATTTGGGTGAATACCAGGATACCATTTAACATTTGAATTAATTGGATGTGTGATTAATCTGATACTTCGGGGTGATTATTCCGAGAGTGGTATAAAAGATACATTGGAGAATAAATTTTCAGTGGTTTATTAGTTAGATACCTATGGCCAGATAGCAAGAAGAAACAAATAGAAAGGCCACCGAAAGCTTGGACTGATACTTGAAGTGGGACTTAAGAGTCCATGTCTGGATCTTGGCACTGAATAGATGTGTCAGAATTAAAGAGGAGTATTCTAAATAAACTTAATGTCTAGATTGTGTGTGTGTGTGTGTGCACGTGCATGTTTGTTCCACCTGCAGGTAGTTCACCTGGCGACTTACTGTGTCAGTCTAACCTCCACTCTGCTGCCTAGACCTTTGCCATAGAATTGGGGTTCCCTCACTTTTTTTGTAACCCTATGTAAATCACTGCTATCTTGGAGCAGTATTTCTTTGCTCTAGCAAGAAGAAAATGGCAGAGTAGTAAAGTGGTTGAGTGGAAGCTCTGAAGTTTATAATTTTGGTTCAGCTGGTATTTATACATGTCATTTACCTAGTGTTGACAACTACTCAACACTGGTTCATGTATTCTTTATGCTTGTCTAGCTCTTTTTGGCAAGGATTAACTTGAGTATAAGACCTGCATTATAAGCATACTAACAATCACTTGCTACTTAAGAAAACTTTGTGTACCATTGTATACAAACTTATCCTAACAGTGAAGATAAAGAGAAAACAATCTGTTATCCAACAAAAAAATGACTTCATCTTATAGACTTGCCTTGACTTGAAAAGGTTTTCCATTTTATTTTTTGAGTAGATAATAAATTCATATGGTTGAAAAGCTTAAATGCTTCAAAAAAGTATCCTTCCTATACATTTTCCATTTGTAATTTCTTGTAATCTGTTTAGTAATTCTGAAGTATATCTTCTTGTTTTTTTCCTTGTTTTATTTTACTTTATTTTTTTATGAGTGCATGTTTGTAGTACTCATAAAAAATGAATGCATTTATCCTGAATACATTTATCCTGGGGAGTTGGTACAGTATACATCATGTTTTAATTTTTTTTTTTCTTGTCCTCTACCCCTCCCAACCCTCCCTGTATTGTATTTTGATGAACATGAGTGACAGGTTGTTTGCTGAAATTACATTGAATAATGTGTAAGAAAACATTTTAAATTACATTTAAACATTTTTGTTTGTTGTTTGTTTTTTGAGGCAGGGTCTCACTATGTAGTGCAGTCTGGTCTTGAACTTGCTTATGTAGCCCAGGCTGGCCTTGAATTCACGTTGATTCTCTTACCTCAGCCTCTGGAGTGCTGGGATTACAGGCGTGCGCCACCATGCCCAGCTACATTTAAACATTTTTAAATTTTAAGGTTACTGTTTGTTTTAGAAAGGGTCTGGCCGAGGCTGGCCTTGAACTCTTGGGCTCAAGCAATCTTCTTGGCTTGCCTAAGTCACATTGTGGAATAGAAAAAAACTTTAAGAGAGGTATAGTTTAATACTTCATCTGCTCATCATCATTAGTGAATGAACAGAGTAGATTTTTTTCTTTAAATATCTCAGATTCCTCCTTTACTTATCATGTGATTATATATTTTAAGCATTTTTAGTAATATTTTCTAAAACATGTTTATACTTCCCTAGTTTCTTCAAAAGAGATGTATGTAAGCACAGGGAAATCTTCGGATCTGTTAGTAGGTTGTTACATTCCTTTACGTCATCTGAGCACTCCTGTTTTTGTAGGGCTCTATGGTCGGCATCACTATTTGTTACTGCTCTTTTCTGCCTCTTAAAGACAGTATGCCCCTACTTAGTTTGTTCATTCTGATACATTTTTGCTTGGAAAGTAGTAGGTAATCAAATCTATGAGGAAGTATGTATTTAATAAGAGGCCATAAATTCTTGTGGGGAGCCTTGGTATAAAGAGCATAACTGCAGTGCAGAGGCTTTTGACAAGTTATTTTGGATAATCAGTGACCTTCGCTTATTGGGTTAATGGGTCAGAGTATTGTTTTGATCTTTGAAAAATGAGGTTTTATAACAATTGTATTTTAAGGAAGAAAGTTATTCTAATATTTTCCTTTGTATTGATATTGCTCTGATTTAATTTGTTGCTGAGCTGGATTTAAATACTAATCACTTAAAGTCAAATTTTTAAGGTGTATATGTTCTTCAATGGGTACAGCCCAGTTAAAATAGCAATTTAGTGAAATAACTATAATGGAACTTTTCTTTTGAATTTGGCTTCTCTTTTTTTTTCTGTTTACCAGGGAGTAACTATTCCCAGTCAGAGGCGCTATGTGTATTATTATAGCTACCTGTTAAAGAATCACCTGGATTATAGACCAGTGGCACTGTTGTTTCACAAGATGATGTTTGAAACTATTCCAATGTTCAGTGGCGGAACTTGCAGTAAGTGCTCTAAATTCTCATCCTTCCACATGTTGGAACACTTTTCTTGACATATCTAGAAGTACAGTATATGTAAACATTTAGAAAGAAAATTAACACATTTAAAATTTACGCAGGAGAGTATATTTCTGAAGTATCTGAATTAGCTCCATTGTTCGCCTCATTGGGCTAAAGAGGCCAAGAACAATGGGTTTTAATGTTCTTGAAGCCAAATTACATTTGTGAAAGAAATTTTTTTATGCTACCACCACCAAATTCAGCCTAAATTCTGGCCAGATGACTTGACAAATCTGTCCGATTAGAGGTTCAGTGTGAGAGTGACACTGATATTTACTGTTTTACTGGTCTTGGTGCAGGGACCAATTCCTTGAAAAGAGTAGATGTTGACAGTAATGGTGACAAGATAATAAGGAACAGAAGTGGTAAGACATATTAGCAAGCTCAAGTATGAGTAACGAATAAGGTTGAATCAGTGTGTGGTGTTTTAGCGAAAACTTGGGTTTAGGTCTAAATTTTAGTTCCTAGATTAGCCAATAAGGTATTGTTCGATCCCAGGCATATCATCTACATTTCTGAGTTCACTCATCAAGAAAATGGAGGTTGAAATATGAAACTTTCTGGATAAGAAGTAAATGTACACCATGTCATTGATGTCTGCCTCTAATCTATTTCTCTCTTGTAGCCTAATCTCTATATGCTTGCTTTAGTGATCTTGATCATGTTCTGCTTCTGTGCTTCTCTTGGTTAAGAGTTCTTAGCTAGACTGATAGGAATCTTAATACCTGGACCCAAAAACAGTTGATTAAAAGAGAATACATAAAAGGAATTATTGTCCAGTCCTGTAAAAGATGAGACTTTTTGTTCTGAAACAGGAACTTAAATACCACATGGAAGTGGTCATGTTTTTATTTTTAGGAAATACATTTTATTAGAATTTAGATGATAATTCTGTAGTTTTTTTTTTCCTTTTTTTAGTACTGGGAATCGAACTCAGGACCTTGCACTTGGCAGATGGGCACTTGTGCCACTGAGCTATATATCCCTGGCCCTTTGTAGTTTCTTGATTAAGATAACTACATTACTTTTTCTTTTAATACCTTTAATATTACTTCAGTGATACTGTACATTACCAGTGATTTTAGGTATTAGCTTTGCATTTTAAAAATATTCATGTAATTAAAGTTTTTTTATTCCTATATTAGTTTATACCTAGAAAATTAAGTTTCTGATATTGTTTTTATTTGTCAGAGAAATGCAGTCACCCTCACCAAATCTTTAATGTATTCTAAGAGCAAGGCAACTTAACAAAGACCACAGATTTATTAATACAATGTAGTAAGGGTATCTAAGGAACCTCACTGATTTTTTTTTTTAAATCTTGATACAATTAAAAATGTTGCCGAATGCAAAGCATGGGGCTGATGGAGATGATTGACACAGGAACTTAACAGATTCATAAGGGAGAAAGGAAAATGAATAAAAAATAGTGTTTTTCTGTAGTACAGATACCGCTGTAAAAGCTAAACGAGAGGTATTATGGAGAAAATACCAAGAGAGAACATTTACGTCAGTTATCTTATATAGTACAACTTTTTCACATTAGCCTCTATGAAAAAGATTTCTTGTCATTTCTACTCTGCCTGCCTATATTTAATCCCAATTTTGTTTTGTTGGTCTCAGTATTCCATTTACATTTCTAGACTTAAAATTATAGACTGTGGAAATCTTTTCCAGTTCTCTTTTTATGCACCGTGGTCTAATGTTACGTATTGAGGCTTTATTACAAACAAGTAATTGTTAAAATGGAGGTTGTATGTATAAATTATAAATGCTATATTCACAAAAGAAAGTTTTGGAGATTGTCAAACAGTCTCATAAAGAAAGTCTACCAGCTCTTTATTGAACACTGGAGAGAGCATGTAGTTTAGCTTAGTCAGCAGTAGGAAATGGCTGGAACTGAAGTACATCAGAAGGAAATAAACTGGACAAAGAAATGTAATGACAGAACAGAATAGGAGTGAAATGTGTGACTGAGTGTTAGAGGATTGTAAATAGGTATGTCAGGTTTGCTTTGATAAATACTATAGTGTCATGATAATACTAAAGGCTTAAACCATGTTTTAAGGACAGTTGTGTAGAAAGTTGTGATTGCAGGGGAAATAGAAAGAAAATCAGTAATGTGACTTTGTCTTAAGCCACATGTGCTAGAGAAATCAAATAGAATTCATTTAGTTTTGATTTTGCTGTTCATGTCCAAAGATTTTGTCAAATGTTTGATTCTGTTCAAATGGATGATTCATGAGAAGGAGAAAGAAAAGCAAATCTGAGATTTGGGGATATGGATATAAATATTTTGGTTTTAAATCTGATGAAGGTAAGCGATACTTACTGGGTACTTCAGTATAACTTTAAATATAGATGGAAAATAATATCTAGTATTTTGGGAAGCAACACTAAAGACTTTCATGTAAACGTGTGGAGGGAAAGGGTAGGAAGGATTAGAGGAAGGCAGAGGGTAGATTGAGATGAGGTGACAACTTGGGTTTAGGACAAACAAGGGGAATCAGTGAGCAATAAAGTATCCTTTGCAAAGTTGTCAGGGGTTAGCAATCCTTTTCTTTTTTAAAAAGAAAATATTCTTATTATTATTAATTTTTTTTTTTTGGTGGTGGTACTTGAGATTGAACCCAGAGCTCTTCACATGCTAAGCAAGCCTTTTACCACTGAGCTACAGTCTCTAGCCCTTTTTATTTTATTTTATTTTTTGTTTTGAGACAGGGTTATGCTAAGTTGCTTAGGTTGGTCTTGAACTTGAGATCTCCTGCCTCAACCTCCCAAGTACCTGGGATTATAGGCAGGTACCATAGTGCCTGGCAATTTTCTTAATATTCCTAAGTGGAGAAAAATTTAATTGTATTCTGTATATATAAAAGTGTTAAAGATGTTGAGGAAGCTGATCAAAATAGTTTTCTGTCAGGATTATAT